GTGTGTGTGTGTGTGTGTGTGTGTGTGTTGGCGCTCTATGTTTAGCCTGCAATTTTCATGACCAGGAGTCCTTGTTACCATGGCAACCCTCGGAGACAAGAGGTCAGGTACAATTGAATCAGACTCTTTTCTCTCCGTTGAGTTTTATTTTATCATCTTGAGCAGATTCTGTCGGTTTCCTCTTCTCTTGAATAATCTGAGGAACAAGTGGTTTGTTTATTTTTCTTTATGAGAAACGAGGTTAAACCGTGAAGCTCAAAAAATAAATTCTATTGACTGATCTGAACCTGCGGCGAGAAGATTTAAACTCTTCCTGTTCCGTCTCCAGCCTCGACGCTGACGTGCAGCAGCAGCAGGTGTGAGACTGACGGCTGCAGGTGGGCGTGAGCCGAGCTGCCGTCCTGCCGTCAGGAGCTGAACCTCCGCGCGTGTGATTCTGCCCGAGGCTTCGGTTTTCTATTCATCCACGTTCTGCTGTGAAATCAGCAGCAGGTTGGATCAGGTACCACGTGTGATTCATTACACACAACATGTCCGGCATCACAACGACGGAACATCTGCCTGGAGTTAAGAGCAACATGAAGTCAGTATTTTCTGATAAGTACTTTTATTTTATAACCAGAAATACTCTCCCTCCACCAACACACCTGAAAACACATGTCACATGACCAGTCACATACATTGGTCATGTGATGTAAACAGGAAGCAGGCTGTCTACTCTGCAACTGGTTGTTCAGTTACAGAAAACAGACGTCAGGGAGATAAGACCTGAAATGACAGAAACCATTTTTATTTTTTATCATTAATTTAACGTCTATTTTTTTCCCATCTGCTAACATGGAGGAGGCGGGGTTTATGACCTATACTGCAGCCAGCCAATGAGGGCAATCGAGACGCTTTGATTTCACTCTTGGGAGGTTTCATATCGTCCGTCTTTATTTCGAGTCAGTGTATGGAACTAAATAAACTGTGCTCGGTCATTTTACACCTCGTTATGCTGCCCCCAAGTGGCCGAAAGAGAAGTTAATGGCGCTTTAGGACTGCAGCTGGTTCACGTGCGACACAAACAAACAGTTTAAAAAGGACGTCGCTCGGATTCTAAATGTGATTCATGTCTTTGTGTTTTCAAGTAACTCTCCAGATGCCGAAACCTCGTTCATCAGACGGAGCCAAAGAAAACAATCTGTGCACGACAGCGTCCAACACACAACAGAACGAGTGTTTATTGCATGTGTGTTCGCACCGTGTTCGCACAGCTGTGCACCATCAGCCATGATGAATGCCAAGCACCCTGTTCAGACTGTGCTCGTGTGTAACTCGGCTCATTTAGATAAAGAAACACTCCAGACACTGTGTCCTCTCTTAAAAGGTTCTGGTGCCACGGTTGTTCCTGCAGAACACAAACAAACATTAATAACAATGAGGTAGAAGTTATAATTAATGAAGTTTTCATTCGACACTTTAATTAGTGAAATATCAAACGAGTGCAGGAGAGACGACGCGGCTCGACTGTGGGAAAGTAAAGAAATCTCCGTCGTTGTTGCAGCTGCAGAGGTGGAAACAAAGATTGAGCCTCGCTGACGTCCTGACACACGAGGTGAAAACACATCGGTTCATTGGTCAAAACGTTTTCCTGAAACCTGAACTTCTTTGAGTTTGTTTCGTGTTA